GAAATGTGTATATACATTTAGAATTTCTGATTCTTTAGCAAAGTCTTCGTAATTTTAAGGCTCACCTAAAAAAATTCAGGAAAATATACTGTACAATATTGATGTTACAGAGAACAAATATTATTTAATGAATCTGCCAATCACAGGGGTTGAATTGGGACCTTTGGCTAACTTAAACTTAAACCCTCGGACGATTGACGTAGCCAGAACACTAACGCTCATAGTGAGATTGTGCCCAGCTATAGTCTCGGTGCATGGAGACGGAAAACCTATGACAGTATGACTTGTGTTAGAGAAAAATTTGAGCTAATGGAGTTAGGAGGTGAAAAATGCAGGGTACTACTTAACATGGTTACAAACCAAGGAAGTACGTAGGTGTTGATCTAATACAGACCATTACATTTAAAATGCCTCAGCTTGGGATCAAATCAGGCCGACTATAACCAAATAAGTCACAAAGACATTCTCTCAAGCCAAATCAGTAGAATTAGCAGCTTGTATATGGTATGTATATTACCTCGTAGGATTACATCAAGATTATATATTAAAGCACGATGACTAGAATGGAATGTTCCTTTGGAAATGATGGTAATTTGTATGTGTGTAAGTGAGAGACTAAGGTGTTTGAAGGCAGTATAGAGGTAAAAATAAGGAATATTGGCCAAAATGTGTCAGGTGCTGCAGATGTGAAATAGATCTTGAAGTGTCAGAGGGAAAAGGTCAAGTAACCACTGTTTGTATTATAGGTTAAATTATGGGAAGAACATGTGTATTCCCATAATGATTTTGACACGATGAGTGTACCTGTCCGAGAACAAGACGAACAGTAGATTGTGTTATCTGTCTGATTGTCACCCAAAAAACTAGTCTTATTGTTCTTTCTTATCTCTGTGTACACAGGCTTTATAGTAAGCTTGGTTCCCAAGGACTGGCTATGTCCACTTTAGCTACACTCCTCCCTCCTTCAGCAGAATGTTTGATCCCAAAGTCCTAGGGCATTTTTAGTGATCTTAGGGTAGAGTTAAGTATCTAACTTAATACCCAATAACTTCTACCTGACGTTGTCTCCATCCCTCTTTATCCTTGTTAGAGAATTGTGTTGTCCATGTCAGTTGTCACATTATAGTCTATTGTGTTATCAAAGATTGAGTATAAAATGGTCATGTAAGGATTAACTATATACCTAGATAATACGCTTAATATAACAAGATAGGCCAAGCTTAACATAACAGGATATGCAAGCTTAACATAACAGGATATGCAAGCTTAACATAACAAGATATGCCAGACTTAACATAACAGAATATGCAAGCTTAACATAACAAGATATGCCAGACTTAACATAACAGGATATGCAAGCTTAACATAACAGGATATGCCAGACTTAACATAACAGGATATGCAAGCTTAAATAACAAGATATGCCAGACTTAACATAACAGGATATGGTAGCTTAACATAACAGGATATGCTAGCTTAAATAACAAAATATGCCAGACTTAACATAACAGGATATGCCAGACTTAACATAACAGGATATGCAAGCTTAACATAACAGGAAATGCAAGCTTAACATAACAGGATATGCTAGCTTAACATAACAGGATATGCCAGACTTAACATAACAGGATATGCAAGCTTAACATAACAAGATATGCCAGACTTAACATAACAGGATATGCAAGCTTAACATAACAGGATATGCAAGCTTAACATAACAGGATATGCAAGCTTAACATAACAGGATATGCAAGCTTAACATAACAGGATATGCCAGACTTAACATAAAAGGATATTTAAGCTTAACATAACAAGATATGCCAGACTTAACATAACAGGATATGATAGCTTAACATAACAGGATAGGCCAGGCTTAACATAACAGGATATGCAAGCTTAACATAACAGGATATGCCAGACTTAACATAACAGGATATGCTAGCTTAACATAACAGGATATGCCAGACTTAACATAACAGGATATGATAGCTTAACATAACAGGATATGCAAGCTTAACATAACAAGATATGCCAAACTTAACATAACAGGATAGGCCAGGCTTAACATAACAGGATAGGCCAGACTTAACATAACAGGATATGCCAAACTTAACATAACAGGATAGGCCAGGCTTAACATAACAGGATATGCCAGACTTAACATAAAAGGATATTTAAGCTTAACATAACAAGATATGCCAGACTTAACATAACAGGATATGATAGCTTAACATAACAGGATAGGCCAGGCTTAACATAACAGGATATGGTAGGCTAGACTGAACATAACAGGATATGGTAGGCCAGGCTTAACATAACAGGATATGCAAGCTTAACATAACAGGATATGTAAGCTTAACATAACAGGATATTTAAGCTTAACATAACAGGATATGCCAGACTTAACATAAAAGGATATTTAAGCTTAACATATCAAGATATGCCAGAAGTAGCATAACAGGATATGATAGCTTAACATAACAGGACTTAACATAACAGGATATGCAAGCTTAACATAACAGGATATGTAAGCTTAACATAACAGGATATGCAAGCTTAACATAACAGGATATTTAAGCTTAACATAACAGGATATGCCAGACTTAACATAAAAGGATATGCAAGCTTAACATAACAAGATATGCCAGACTTAACATAACAGGATATGATAGCTTAACATAACAGGATATGCCAGACTTAACATAACAGGATATGCCAGACTTAACATAACAGGATATGCCAGACTTAACATAACAGGATATGCCAGACTTAACATAACAAGATATGCCAGACTTAACATAACAGGATATGCCAGACTTAACATAACAAGATATGCCAGACTTAACATAACAGGATATGCCAGACTTAACATAACAAGATATGCCAGACTTAACATAACAGGATATGCCAGACTTAACATAACAGGATATGCCAGACTTAACATAACAGGATATGCCATGTTACATGTTCTTCAAGTTCAAGTATCGTGATCCGGATTATAAGCTGCTGTTTTTTCCCTTGGTGGTCAGGCATGCAGCTCACATACCAGTACAGTTTATATGTGGATGAAAAAAATAGCAGAATAAAAAAAGAAATACACCACCAAGTTTTTATGAGTACCTGTCCATCACCTGTTTGTGACTGAAACAGATCGTCTAGAACCACCATCTGCAATCATATGCAGAATGATCTGTAGATTAAAATGAAAATAATATTCTCATGGATGAAATTAATAATACCTTTTAATATGAATCACAATAATATTTTCTGAACTTCCGTGGTTGCTTTGGAAGCCATAGCAGAAGTTTACATTAGCCTGTTGTATCCTGAGGTCAATAGGTCATCATGTTAAAGGTCAAATTCTGGAACAACCGCTATGCTTGCATACGATAAGAATGGCTTCATGTAACTTACAAGAAATAATATGGGACTATAAGATATTTGTTAGCATGCAAGGGCCTTTGCTTATATTTAACAGAACAGACACCGATGGAGATATTGTTAAGTAAACCATATGTAACGTCAGGCCATATATCTGTGTACACAATCTTTGGAGAGTTCCAAGCCAAACAAGTTCGATAAATGCTATTTTACATTCTTGAAACACATCAATGAAATAAAGTATTATCTGTGTATAATTCATTTGCAAACATATATTAAATGTTTCACTGACAATATTGATTAATTGCCTTTTGTTGTTTGTTATATCAACAAACTTTGGTCAACGTAACGGTTACCACATCGTAAGAAAAGGTGCGACTTATATTCGGGTGCGACTGATATATGGATCAAATCTAAAAAAAAACATTAAAAATTGGCTCTGTGGTTTATATACTGATGCGGTTTATAACTCGGAAAATATGGTTTAAACTTTATGGTGTAAGTGTTGTTGTTTGAACATATTATGTATCCTTGTCATCAGAATAAAATGTTATTATCATTGTAATTTTGAAGTAGATGCAGGGGATGTGCAGATGTGCAAAAATAGATTATATGGATGATTTTTGCAGACAATATTGCACTAACTTATATAGGTGGGTTTTGCTGTTAAATATAGACAGAGATAACACTATGATATTCTATGATATATCCCTAGATCCCTTCCAGGATTCTATTTAGCAGAGTTTCCCGACACAAGATGAGCACTTTAAAGATTTAAGATTCTTGTGGACTAATTATCTTCATAAACCTAACAACAGTTTACAAGGGCAAAAAAATTATAATTGGGTCTGTCAAGGATTTGTAGGGTTTAAAATAATAGATTAAAGAAAAATAAAATAAAAAAAACTCTGGATTATTTTCTCCTCATTTATATAAAAACAGGCAATTTAATCATTTTTCTTATCTTACCCATTTTGAACCACAGATGTGTGATCTTATATAAATACATTGTTGGTATCTATGGTAATTAATTTGGGGATAATTAGTCAATTAACGAGGAACTCTAACTTCTTAGAAACTAGAAAAATGAAAATCATTACTCACTGTTTCTTCATAAACTGCATAGAGAATACATTTCTTAATAAATCAAAATTTTAATGAATCTTCAGAATCTTCCGACTTATCACATTTTAACCGTTTCGGTGAATACTTCGCCATTTATTTCCTGCTAAGTTCATGATTGCATCTTTTGAGTAATTGTGATGAATCTGATGATCCTTATAGAATTTTGAAGCCATTTCCCAAAGCTTGTCATGGTATTGATCATACTAATGATACATGTATTTCAAGTTTCTCTGAAATTATCACGATTACTATATTATTCTTTTCAGAATTGACTTCAAGTTCTGTATAAATGTAAAAAGATTAGATATTTAATATATTGTATAATTTATAAATTATTCAAATATGCAAGAAAGATTACACCTCTTTCCAGAGGAACTAATTTTATAGGGGTGAAAATTGCATCAACACCTCCAATGAGCCCAGCATCAGTAGCATCAGACTGTAGTGTAAACACACGCGGGGACATACAAGGTTACAGCAGCCATTTCACCTGCAGCCAGTGTTCACTACATGAGGAAGAAACTGGATATAATTAGAGTAAAATCTACACACTGTATCTGTACATACAAACATTTATCTAAAGCTGGCATTTCTCTTCACCATGCTAGCTCTATCTTGAAGGTGAATCACGTTTTGGAGGATTTTTTATCATTGAAGACTTGCGTGGAGGTCAAAGTATAAAGGAAACGGTTTAACAGTTTAGTGTCACACAAATTTGTGAACCTGTTGTAAATTGATGTAGTGTTAACCTGTGGAGGATTTGATTCACCTGATCCGTGTGTATACGTCCAGTTGACTGGACAGTACTGAGTCATATTGACACAAGGTGACACGGCAATATCAATGCCCAGGATTGTTTTGGAATTGGTACATGTTCAGATGCTTTAAAAGGGTAGGTGTATTTAAGTTTTTAATATAGCAGACATGAGGTCAGAACATAATTAAATGTTTTCAGTGTAATCAGCTGTCCTGGAGTTTCATAGGAGTAATGTTAGCCAGTGTTGATGAAATATTCCCTGAGTAGACACCTAGCTTTTAATGAAGTTAAGGATTGTAATAGTAGTATGCTGTAAAATTCAAGTCAAATTAATAACCTGTTTTGTATTACTGTCAATATCAAATATTTAAATCTCCTCTCAGGTGACAAGAAAGCAATAATTGATTATACACACGCACTGTTTAGAAATTATCTAACTAAAAAAAGTGTATTACCTGTGGTAATTTGTAAACAGATTCAATATACAATGTGGATGATCTAGAGATATGTTTACAGAAAGGCTAGCCCAGATTTTAGTCCAGAGGCAGCACAATGGAGGGTATTGATTCCTAATGAGTGCTTGTATGCGACCATATTTAGATTTCTTTGAGACGCTTAGTCTGTTTCATGTGGATGTTCAGTGTCAATATTGTGCAACGAATAATAGAAGACTTTCGGCACCGTGCTTATCGGTAGAAAATTTACAAGTTATGGTTCTTGGTAGGATATGTCACCTATACTGAGTAACGTAAACCATGTTTCTGACATTTTCTTTTACCCAATCTGTCATGCATGATAGGTTGGCTGATATTGTTACATGCATACCCATTCAATGAAGTCGTGTACACTTCCCCCCGGCCAATGTGTATTAGAATAAACCCTAATGTAGGCTGGAATCCCTGTGTAGTACTTGTTAAAATTAGACTACAGGAGCAATGACCCCACTGTACTTGTGGTAAGTAAATTTGTGAAGATTTTACAAACACTGAAGGTTAGGTTTGTTTTGAAGGCCATCCATACATATGTGTAACCTAGAGTAGAAGACCACATGTTAACTGTGTAGTAATTTTAAGTATTGTTAGGTTCAAGGGAGCAAGTGTCAGTGAACGAAGTCATAGATCAGTATAAGTGGATTAAGATATAGCTTAATATATACTGTGCTGGTCATATGTGTGTGTTGGTCAGTATTCAGATATATAGCTAAATATATACTGTGCTGGTCATATGTGTGTGTGGGTCATATGTGTGTGTGGGTCATGTGTATGTGGGTCATATGTGTGTGTGGGTCATATGTGTATGTAGGTCATATGTGGGTGTGGGTCATATGTGTGTGTGGGTCAGTATTCAGATACATAGCTAAATATATACTGTGCTAGGCCTACGTGTGTGGGTCAGTAATTGGGACAAAGCTATAGATTCATTGTGGCCCCAGATTTTGTAGTTTTAGGTAATGTAAAAAAACTATATACAAATACTTTACAAATATAATACATTGATCGACAGGTGTTTTCTGATATTGCTTCACAAGCATCAAAAATAATCAGTGGTTAATATTACTCATATTGGTGTGACAATAATGTGCATCTTCTCCAAATCAGCCTAGTATATATATGGGATGTGAACATTTGGCCAGTTTGTAATTTAAAAAGGATTCTGATTGCAGAAGTGAACAAATGATCTGAATCCAATTCTCAACTTCTATTCTGTACAATTCATTAAAAACCTTTATATTAGGTAAAAGTATTTTGAAAAAATGAAAAAAAAACTTCAGTTATACAATATGTGATTTCACTGAGATGCATAGGTGCATAGTCCCATGTAATTTGACCAAACAGTTAAACTCACACCTGGTCACCTGTATGAATAACAAGTCTCTCTGATAAGTTTGATGAACTGATGTTTGGTTGATAGGTATGGCTGAATGATCTTTTAAAACAATACGTCATTAATATTTGCATTTGAGTGACTTGAAATAACACATCTCCTAACACATGCAAATTAGATGTGTTTTCTTAGCTCAACATATAAATAGAATACATATGATGACTGTAGTAGAACTAAAATGAATATTGAAATATTCAGGAACAAATATTTTTTCCTAAACATTTGAAGAGTGAAATGGTATTTGAATATTTGTCTAGTTTTTCTATATCCCAAACTGAATACCTGAGATCCGGAAAATGTTTAATTACTTAATGAATGTAGGAAATCCTTATCCCATGAAACTTGTCAGACTGACTAGATAACATGTATTTAGCCTTAAATCCCATCATGCTTTGCACATAGCACAGGTAATAATAAAAACAGCATGGCTGAAAAAAAACACAAGCAGAAAAGAACAACAACAGAATTTACCACAAAAAATGAAAAAACTAGATCAATTTTACATGATGTATTAATCACCAATACTATATATCTACTCTGCAGGTTTATACGTCCCATTGTCATGATTGTTAACGGATACTTGCTCTCAAAAAATGAATCAAACTTACCCTGTCATGATACACATCCTGTCGGTTCTAAATAATTCTATATATCTATAATATAATTATACATCGCAACTGTGTTTTGTATATCTTTGTTCTCTGTGACCTTGGTCATTGGCCGTGATCACTTTGAAGTAGATGACGACTTTTGTCAACATTGTATATAGAGATATCTGTTGAGGTTAATTCTATATGTTTATCACAGAGCTGTAACTAATTATTTGATTAGGTGACAAAGTCTCTGTGTTCACCAGTGTCACTTCTTCAGATGGCCACTTTTGACCTTTGACCTATTAGTTCCAGAAACAGCTGTTGATATTTCCTTGGTAACCACTTTGAAAATATATATGATATATCAATCTAGAATTGATTTTGATCTTTTTGTATATATGTCTCTGTGTAAATTCTACCCACCTCTAGATACCTGTCTTTGTATATCTGTCTCTGTAAATTCTACCCACCTCTAGATACCTGTCTTTGTATATCTGTCTCTGTAAATTCTACCCACCTCTAGATACCTGTCTTCGTATATCTGTCTCTGTAAATTCTACCCACATCTAGATACCTGTCTTTGTGTATCTGTCTCTGTAAATTCTACCCACCTCTAGATATTTGTCTTCATATATCTGTCTCTGTAAATTCTACCCACCTCTAGATACCTGTCTTTGTATATCTGTCTCTGTAAATTCTACCCACATATAGATACCTGTCTTTGTGTATCTGTCTCTGTAAATTCTACCCACCTCTAGATATCTGTCTTCATATATCTGTCTCTGTAAATTCTACCCACCTCTAGATACCTGTGTTTGTATATCTAACTGTCTCTGTAAATTCTACCCACCTCTAGATACCTGTCTTTGTATATCTAACTGTCTCTGTAAATTCTACCCACATCTAGATACCTGTCTTCATATATCTGTCTCTGTAAATTCTACCCACCTCTGGATACCTGTCTTTGTATGTCTAAATGTCTCTCTAAATTCTACCCACCTCTAGATACCTGTCTTTGTATATCTGTCTCTGTAAATTCTACCCACCTCTAGATATCTGTCTTTGTATATCTGTCTCTGTAAATTCTACCCACCTCTAGATACCTGTCTTTGTATATCTGTCTCTGTAAATTCTACCCACCTCTAGATACCTGTCTTCATATATCTAAATGCCTTTATGTCAATTTTATCTGTCTCCTGTCTCAAGATACCTATGTTTCGGTATATTTAAATGTCTATAAGTAGATTCTATCTGTCTCTAGGTACCTTTACCTTGGTATATTTAAATGTCTTTACGTTTAGGTACATATCTCTAACTAAAATTTTCTGTTTTTGGCCAATACTCTATTTTTATATTCTAACTTGTTTATGTTTTCTCTAAGTAAATCCAGCACATGGGTGACACATCACTTTAAATGTTTGATAAATAGAGCATATAAAGGATATCTTGGTGGTGGAGTGTGACATCCAATTTCATCCACTTAATTTGAATCAGATTACAAAGATACATTATAGAGATGAGAAACACAGTATTTGGAGTATGTATAGTAATTATCTCCTATCACATAAATCACTTAAAGGCAAATCATTCCAGCAGAAGTTTTCCTTCGAATATTTTAATTCTCTTGTCATGAAATGACTAGAGGCAAATTTGTAATACATGTGTATAGTTTGTTTTGTCCTTCAATCTGTGCAGTTTCCACTTATCCATCAGAATTAAGAGGTTTTGTGATGTTTCGTTTTGGCATTCAGGTTTTCTTTTGGTTCAAACTCTAACGCTGTAATGTTGCTTTCAAAATTTTGATGCATACTGACTAAAACACTATTTTGAGGTCTTATTTTGGAATATTTCTAATGCTAACTATGATACAAATAAATGACCTTCCATATTTCAAAGTCAGCCTTTGTTCATAAATGACCTTTCACAGGTCAAGGTCATACTTTGTTGATGATAATTGACTTTTCAATAGGTCAGATTCAAGAGTTGTGTATTGACGAATGCTGACTGAGATACAGATAAAAAGCAAGGCCTTCAATGTCACACAGCTTTGAGGTTTGGATGGCCTCCTGACATTTGACTGACAGACGACTGATGTGAAGTTTCTGCATTCCTAACTTCCTGATTGTTTTTGCTGCACTTTATTTCTGTTCGATTCCTTTTCAGGTGTTTACAACATTAAAGTTTCGCTATAGGTTTAGAGATTACTAATTTGCTAAATTTAAAGGTTAGATTAGTGGTAAAACACTTAAGTAGATTTTGTGACACCAACACATGTGAAACAGGTTTTAAGCTAGACTTATTTACATCAAAGAGAAACTGTAAAAAAGTGTTAAAAGAAGTTATGTTCGAACTGTTGTTTGAGATGTACAATACCTGTGTGTTTATGTACCAATGAAGTGTACATTGTATATACCAGATATGTATGACTGTGGGTCAATATCTATGTACCCAATGAACAGTACACAATTACTCAGACAGGTGTGTGTGTGCTTTGTAGTACAGGACCTGTTGGAGTTGACTGTCCCAGATCAGGCACAGATTCCTGTGATGTCAATGTCTTGGTCCTAACACTGGGGACAGTGGAGGCTTGATGAGATTAGCTGTGATGTTAGTTTGAAACTGATATTCATCTTGTTCAGAATTCCTGTGATGATACTG